TTTCTAAGAAAAATAAAATCATTTTTGATGGTATAACGGAAATACTCTTTCATAATAATAATGAACAAAAAGATCTCATAATTACTATCAACGAACTTGAGTTGTCACCTGATTTCGTTAAAACGTATGTCTATTGATAAATAGTCAGTACTAGATTACTTTGTATATTCAAGTGTATAAAGTATTAATTAAACATCAGTGTATTCAGCAAATCTTAGGAGAAAGTACGCCAGAAATATATATTTTTTAGAATTACCAAAAATAAAACAAAAGCAAATTAAAAGAAAACTCATTTAAAACCGTTTGTGTAGAATCAAAATACAGTTTATAACTGAAGCACACAGAACTAAAGGGGTCAAAGTGACATTTTGGTAAAAAAAAAAACTAAAAAGTAAAATTACCACTCTTTTAATTGTATTAAAGACCGCAGTGAATTTTTTGATCAAAGCGCTATTTATCATTAATTTACTTTGATCCTTTCAGCTTTAGATATCTCAATTATGAATTGCATTTAATCAGTGTACATTAATCAACTGAAATAAACATTTATAAATAAAATAGAAATCTTTATCAAAAATTTTGATTAAAAAATTATTTTCATACTCAATTTTCAACAAAAGCATAGGTAAACTGAAGTTTTGGAAAACTTAGTAAATTTTGACTAAACAATCTATTCCTTTGATTTATGAGCATTTTACATTTCATTTACCTAAATTTTAATCTAAATCCTTACTAAATTTATATTTATAATTCTTCATCAGTAAAGAAAAAATAATTTTATTTATCCTTTTAAGTGCGAGTAATCCAAAAAATATCAAAGATACATAGGCACAATCCGAACGAAATGTTTTGGGGTTGGGCTTAATTTTTTCCCTCCTTAAAAATATTTCGGTTTACATTTACATGTAATATTCATAATTTATTAAAAGAATCAAGGAGGCGAGCCCCTTAATTACGACTACAAAGTAAATTATGTTATGGCTTTTGTTTAGTGAAGATCAATGAGCAATTCATTTATCGTGATTTCTCTTCATTAACACACAACAACAAATTATTTTTAAATGGTTTTTGTTTTTTATAAAATCTTCATAATATTTAAATTATAACAACTGTATGATTTATTTTAATACATAAAAAAGTGATTAAAATATTTCAAACCAAAGGTAACTTTACTTTCATTTTTAATGTAATATGATTTCATATCATAATTACATTAGAGTATTAAGGAAAACTCTTCAAAAACGTTGTAAATAAATTTAGTATACAAATACCTAGTATATCATATATTAACATCAGAACATGTCAAGTATAATATATATATGAGTGTACATAATAATTAAAAAGGAAAAATTCCAAATGGAAACTTAAAAATAATATGTACATAAGTATCTCAAATGTTTTAGCTTCGATGCGATTTAAAATAGTAACTTTTTTACAAAAAATAACTTTTTCAACTTAATTTTTGAAAATGTTCCCGAAATACTGCGTCCTTTAAACATATATAAAATTAAAGCTTATTTTATGTACTACAAAATGAAAAAAAAAAATTTGTCCCGACATCTTATCTTCTATGTGCAAATGGCTGTCGAAAATTTAAAAAAAAATGTAATGTTTGCGATAAAAATTACATTTTATCGGGATGTTTTTTGTACTTAAAACTGCCATAACTTTTTCAAAAATGAACAAATAAAAATAATATTTTTTTGTATTGAAACCTTAGATATTTCCCTTTCATTTGATATAATTTTTTTTGAAAATCTAACACTTATTCTGCTCACTGGGGGGATTTAAAATAGTAACTTTTTTACAAAAATTAACTTTTTCAACTTAACTTTTGAAAATGTTCCGGAAATACTGCGTCCTTTAAACATATATCAAATCAAAGGTTATCTGTTATATACTATCAATGAAAAAAAAAATTTGTCCCGACATCTTATCTTCTATGTGCAAATGGCTGTCGAAAATTTAAAAAAAAATGTAATGTTTGCGATAAAAATTACATTTTATCGGGATGTTTTTTGTACTTAAAACTGCCATAACTTTTTCAAAAATGAACAAATAAAAATAATATTTTTTTGTATTGAAACCTTAGATATTTCCCTTTCATTTGATATAATTTTTTTTGAAAATCTAACACTTATTCTGCTCACTGGGAGGATTTAAAATAGTAACTTTTTTACAAAAAATAACTTTTTCAACTTAATTTTTGAAAATGTTCCGGAAATACTGCGTCCTTTAAACATATATAAAATTAAAGCTTATTTTATGTACTATAAAATGAAAAAAAAAAATTTGTCCCGACGATCTATCTTCTATACGCAAATGGCTACCATATTGAAAAATATACTATTTTTGTATGATAATTATGGGTTTAACTATTTATTTTAATAGAAGTTGATGTTGCTTTTGCAATTATCCATCAATTTTTTAAAATTAAACACTATCTACAGATTTGCATCGAAGCGTTTCTTATGATAGTGATTTTAATCACTGTCAGATTAAATCTATACTGGACCCTACTATGCAATGTCTCCACTATGCCGCTACCCCACTGTGCTACCGTTATTTTGATTTGACATGGATAAATCTTAATGTCTAATCGGTAGTATAGGATTAACAAAAAACGTTGAAGTTCAACACGCATTAAAGCGGCACTGGCCGGTTCGACAATTATATTTAAATATTACTTAAACCACAGAACAGTGATACTATAAATAAATTGTTAGGTTAAAATTTCTTTAACAAGTTTATAAAATTAAACTCCTTTTTTCAGGAGTCGAATATAGGCAATTTTGCAATTTTTACATGTTACGCAGTGTTGTTGTGTGAGAAGTAAATAATTAGTAGTGTGGAGTGTCCATTATTTGGAGTATTTTCGTCGTGTTATAGTCGATAACAAAACCGGTTATGTACCTGCCTTACTTTTTGATAAAATACGATTATATTGATTTAATAACGACGGACGTTTATTTTATGTAGTATAAAAACCGTAGTTTAGCAGCAGCCTCATCGTAATTACATATAGACGCGTCATGATTTCACAAATTTTAATTTATTATACAAATAATAAAGTTATTTATTTTCGACGAGTAAGAAAAACTAAATATTTACAGAAAATACGTTAAACTATATGACATCTACATCGATTATTTTGAAGTTATAAAATTATCAATAAAACTTCAATTTGAATTATAAGAATTCAATTTACAAAATTACATTATTTACACAGTACGATATTTAAGTTTTATAAGCCTGTTCTTATGGGAAGTCCTTTGTCAAAACGAGAGTCAATCATCTCTGGTAATAGACAATCCACGTAGAACTTTTCTAAAAGTGACCACATTATATTACACTTATTTATTGTTTTTTCAAGTTTATCAATTACTATACCTAAAAGTACACTATATTAATAAATGTTTGAGGTCGTACATTTAAGTAACTGCCTTTTCCATATTGTTTTTTTACTTTATTTTACATTTACATTGTCCTGTTATTTGATGATCAAGCAATTTATGTATGTGTACATTTCAAACGTGTTGAAATAAAAAGCTCATCACATAAGTTACTTAGTGTTAGATCTCGGTTAATAACATAGTGTGTGACTGAGAAAATAACACGTTATTGTGTCAAATTTAAAGGGAAATTATTAAAACGTAATGCTGAATGCATCAACAAGACATATTTTTTTTATCTTTTGGCGTATCGTTGAATAATAACAATTCAGTAGGTACAGATATGGATAGACATAAGCATAAAACACATCATAGTAAAAGTAATACCTTTTCTATCGAAGCTAAGAAAGTGTATGAAAATTATTTTTATATACACGTACCACACCAGTTATATTTTTTGACGTTACTCACGTTATGTTAATACATTACCTATTTTTTTTTTTTTGTAGCAATATTTTTTTATGACACCATTTATTTAGCGACACTTATATAGCAAAAATATAACAAAAAAATTTGTTTCGCATTATGCAATGATAGCTTTGTCGGTCAATAGAGCAAATATCATATATACAGATGTAAAATCAAGTATGCATTTGTAACTATTTTTGGGCAGTCGGTATTGCCTTACTCTATGGGCAATAAAATAGCTGCTGCGGATAACACACACACGCGCACTAACATGTCAGAATAACAGCTACTGTTTGAAACCATTAGTTTGAACGTACAAAACAACCCGTTTTTGTTCCATCAGTACGACGACACTACTGATGCGATAAGAATTCTAAAAACATATCTGAATTCAGTATCATGTCACTTAGGTATCGGTCAGGCCACTTTTTTGAAATTGTGATTTCTTCAACGCAAAAATTTAAATTATTCAAAAATGTAAACTGTACTTAAGGGTTAAATACATCAAAAATTTAAAAAAATGGCCTGACCGATACCTAAGTGACATGATGCTGAATTCAAATATGTTTTCAGAATTCTTATCGCATCAGTAGTGTCGTGTGTAATAAGGCTCGCAGTGTAATAAGGCGGCTGATGAAAGAGACGAGGTGACCTTGTATCACAAAGTATACGATACCGTGTCAAATTTCAAGGATTCTTTGATACAAGTCAAAACACTAATTTCATAATTATCATGAAAAATATCATTGGTCATATGTATAATTTTTGCAATTACAGGCGTGTAAAAAAATAATTGTTAGTTTACACGTACAAATTATGTACAATTAGTGCATGGATCATTTTATTTATAAAAGTTTGTTCTCTATTTGTTTATTAGGTAGGCATTAAACTAGACTTTAACTAAACGAAGAGTATCAATTTTAAAAACTTATATTGAGCTTAATTTTGTACGATCAGTTAATAAATTTAAACTTTTAGTTAACTCCACAAACTTAATGAGTCAGTTCTGATGAAAAATAAAAATAAAATAGGCATAATTATATTTTCAACTTTTTGCGAAAAAAATTCTTTAATTAAATAACAATGACTCTAATATTATTCTATTACTAATGATAAAGGATAAAAAAAAAACAAGAGTTATAGTAAAAAAAATTTAAATATTTAATGGAAAAGCTGCATTTATAAACACTCATGGTTAAATTATTAAAACATATATTTCAATAAGATTAAAAAAAAGTACAAACCGTGAACATTACAGGTATAAACATTGTAACATTATTGTTAGCAATGTATATAGCTTACATATTTTGCATAAAATTAAAAAAAAATTAATACACATTTAGTTTTATTTCCATTTTAAAGACTAGAACAAATTACAAACACTGTTTTTGAAAATAACATGGAATGTTTCAGTTACATTTAAGAGAGAAAATAACATAATTGTAATAAGTACTCAAATTGAAAACAGAACTTTTTTTTTCATACTAATTGTATATTTATATAAAAATTCACACTTCAAACGTTTCATAATAAATAATTTGACGGACGGTGATATTTTATAAGTACAAACTATTAATAAAACACAAAAATTTACATGGTAAGCATTCGCCTTTTTGAATAGATTGTCATTGAACAAATTTATTTGAAACAATTAATTTTATAATGTATATTAAAAATAAAACGTTAAAACTAAGCGTTTTTTATACAATTTTTATAATTAATTGTAAGTTTAAACTTTTATGTTAAAAACTATAATGTATCGAATAAATGAATGTAAAATAAAATAGCACTTAATAAATGATAATTAAAGAATAGTGTATTCATGTTATATAATAATATATAAATAAAGCTGCTAAAAATTTAAGTACATAAATGGAACAGTGTCACATTGAGTATTACTGAGTAATTGGTCAATAATAATGGTATTGCAAAGATTAAATAAATATATTTCAAAATTCAAATAAACCGAAATATTAAATTATATAAAATAGTTTTTGTTAAGGAGATCATAAAAAATAGTTAATTTTGGAATGCATGGTAACTAGGTAGATAAATAAAATAAATATAGGCCAGGCTAATTATAAAAGTGATATGTAGGATAATTGATGTGAATAAATAAAAATGTGTGTTGAAAAAATGAAAAACAACTAATAAAAATATTTGAATTGTCTTAAAAAAATTATTTTTTGTCCAACACCAATTAAAAATTTGCCATTACCCGAAACGTTAAAAATCTAAATATAAGATTCCTTAACATAATATAAAATAATAATGAATACAAACTGTAAACGAATCTACATCAAAACAGTCCGCCTTAATGTAAAGTGGTTATTTTTTACTACTCTTAAATGTTAGTGACATAAGTTAGATCGGTAGTTATTATTAATTAATACATTACTAAAACCTATAGTGTATTCTGTAAAGATACTATAAAAAAAATTTAAATGACTAGCAACTTCATTAATTCAACTTAAAATTATAAAAATAAAAATTTAAATACACACATAATATCATGGGTATATTTAAAATAAAATATAAATTATTAAATATTATTCATTCTTAATATTATCTGTATAATTATTAATTGTAAATATGATCAAGAAATTGCAGTTAATCATTTTAAAGGACTCTGGTTTTTTCTGACTATTTTTATAATTAAAAAGTTATATAAAATTTTGAATAATGTTTAAAATGTAACTTTATTATAGATAATATAATTATGTAAAACCTAAAATTAAGGAAAAATTCATCACTACTAAAAATATTGGTAAAACAATAAAAAATATACTTATATATTAATTTACATACTATGGAAAGTTTAAGTATTCAGTAAAAAACTAACCACATTTCTTGAAGCACCGTCGTTTCAATAATTGTTATAGGTATAATATTTAATGTTGTACTAAATTTATTTAACGATTATTTTCAAATCATTTAAATAATTTTATGTATTATTATTCAAAAAATACTAAAGCGATCATTTCAAGAATATAAAATTACGAGAAAAATTAATATCGAACCAAAATAAGTAAAAGATTCTTCAATTATTTACACAGAAAATATACGATAAAGTGAAGAGTACAGAAAATATAATGTGGTAGCATAAAATCATTAATTTTACTTTTTATTGTCTCAAAAAATTAATGTTAAAAATTATAACTCTTTTTCATTGAGATGTTAATTAAAATTTAATTATTAGAAAATAAGTAACCCAACCATTCTCTTTGTTCAACATTTGAGTAACATTAAAATTTCAATACACAGACTTATTTGTATATTTGATTAAATAGTGACATGTTATGAATCAATTAAAACACTTAATAAAAACCATCACCAGCAACCAAATTAACTCGTGCTTATATTACTAAAATTTATATACTTAATATTATTTTTATACATACACAAACACATGTACGTTATAAACTAACCATATAAATTGTTTTCCCCAATTTCAACTTCCTCATAAACTGTTTTAGTATAAACTATTTATTTAACTTAAACTTTTTTACTTAGACCACAACTAGAAAAGTTTTGATCTTAGAAATCGCCCCATTAAAAATTCTTTGCCCGGATCATAATAATTACTTTTAAAAAATGCAATTTCTGGTATTTTTCTGACAGTAATCAGCAGATCGAAATTACTTTCAAATACTACAATCACAATCATAAGTATTAAAAATAATGTCAAGATGATTGGCAATATATAGTGGCGTAGGAAAGACATTGATGATGATACGTTCTTTTTTAATGGCTTGTTTTCAAAATGTTTTTGACCGGAGAGCTGATGGTTAAGTATCCCTTGTTTAAATGATGGCGAGGAGCTATCTGTAACCGTAGTTTGATTTTCTGCAATAAGACAATAATATGGTATTGTTAAAATACCCCGTCAATAAATATTTTAATATTAAATTTCGGATATTAAGTGTTTAAACTTTAGTCATATGAATTTAAAAGTTTACATTTATTTAAAACGAATATGATAAAAAACGGTTTATTAAAAGTATAATTCAATAAATATTAAAAAATATTTACAATATATTAGATAATTATTTTTAAGACAGAGAATATAAAATGATTGAATTATCAAATTTCCTGTGTTTCTTTACCCATTTTAGAACTATTTAAATTATTAAAATACAAATCATATAATATTCATTACATAGAATCAAATATATGATTATATCTTAATTTTTAACGTACATTTGTTTATAAGTTAAATACATTAATAAATTAGTTATTTAAGCTAATGATTATAAATAACAAAATAACATGCGATAGCAACATAACAAACCACTGAAAAAATATTTCTTTTATGAAGACATTGATTCAATGATTATAATATTTCATATTTATTAATAATAACGATTTCATAAATTACTTCTCATTAATTTTAATAATGTTGTATTATATTTAATAATAATAATAATTATGATGTTAATATAATAACGTCTTAAAAATTATTTAAATTAAAGAAAGAATAGTTTGTTCAATAATTAATGTCGCATTTTCATCTATAAATAGATAGAACATTTTTTTTATTTTTTACCTACTAAGTGAACATAGACATTAAACATATTTAAATACAGTTATACGTTTATTATTATTTAATACGCTTTCATAATATAGCAAATATAAGTATTGCTAATTTTGACTGTAAAATTTAGCGTTTCCGGAGACTTATTCAAAATTTTCTTAACGAGAACACATTAAGAGGTAAAAGAATTGTGTCCCTTGCGTCTCATTCTGTTTATTTAACCACTTATAAATTTTTTTCAACATTATTATTTTAGAAGAAATTTAATAGTTCAATCAAACCTAAAAAATATTCGTTTTTGTAGTGTTTTAAGTATTTCGAACTTACATTAATTATAATAGCAACATATAATAGAACCAGAACTTTTTAATCTAAAATAAAATCTCCTAAACATTCTTAAAAAAAAAAAAAAAAAAAAAACGAATTACCCCTTCGTTTATATGTATTCCACTTCACTTCAATTATTAATAATTATATCGCACGCCTGGATAAATAACTCGCAAACAAACTCAGATATCATTTTATAAAATATATTATTAATTTAGTATTTTTAAGGGTTGGTGTGGCCAAGTTGGTTATACGACATCAATGCCTGATATGAGTTGTCACCCTTATTTGTAAGGCCACTAAAGTATTAAAAAAATATGATTAGGTTCACAGTTTAATACTATTTAAAAATGAAAACAAATCAGCGATCAAAGTGTTAAAAATCACTAAATTAACCAGATTAACGAGAGCTCTACGCAATACTTATACGGAGCTCATCTTTAATCTTCTTTGGCATTCAACATCAATTGATTCATCATTTCTGTAGTATTAAATTAAGGAGTGACAATGTAAATTCATATAAAATTTATTAATTCATCTTAAAAGTCAAAAATATTTTGGATACACAGACTGTTTTAATATAAAATTAGTAATTCTAAAAAATTGAATAAAATTAACTTGTAACTGACAAAAGTGAGTTTTGAAGTGAATTTTCATATATAATATTAAAAATTGAGCTTCATATGTAATGAAAACTATTCATTTTAATTAAGTTTTTTTTGTTTGACATTATGAAGTCTCGATACCTTTTTGGTATAGAACGTAAAAAATAAATATCCGATAATTATGCTACAAAAAATATTTGGAGTAAATAATTTTAAAAGAAAAAATATATAAAAATAACTTTAAAATTAGTTTTATTTTAACATGATAAATTATTATATTCATATTTAAAATTAATAATATATTAAAAATATTAACTAAAAAAAAAAGGAAGGCGGTTGGTTCATGTTCGACATAAAAATCAACGATTATAAGTACTGAAGTCTTTATAAATTTGAATACTATGTAATTTATATATATATATAGTATTATTTTAACTTTATATTTATAGATTATTTTAACTAAAAAAATAAAGATTCTAAATTTTTCAACTTATAATGTCAATAATAATTTCTATTCAGAAGAATTCGTCAATATTATAATAAAAAATATTTCATATAAAAAAAAATAAACTAAACTTTCTAAATATATTAAGCCCAACCTAACCATCAGATTTTATTCTAATAGGTGCTAAACAATTTGGATATATTCAGATTTTTACAAAAAAAGTCATGTAAAACAATAAATAATTTACTTTGGTAAAGAACTTAGACCCCTACCAATTTTTTCTAATTATAAACAATAATTATTAAAAATGAAAAAAAAATTCAGGCAATTCTTGAGGAGTGGACATCGATTTCAAAAAATATGTTGATCTACTTACAAATTTTTATATAGTTGTATTATAACTATATTAATGTGCAATAATTGACTTGTTAGTTGTTATCAAAAACTAAAATATGTCTAAACTAACATTTATATCATTAATTAATAATATAATTGAAAAACAAATATTTTAATGGCATAGCGCAGAAGTGTGATAGATGACATTTTATAATAAAATAATTTATAGATGAATTATTAACTAACACGTCTGTGCAGAATTTTAGAATTAAATAAATATGATCAATTTTATAATTAAATCCTTACAAGTTATTTAAATTGTAATTATAGATAATTATCTAAAACCAATTTAAATTACACTTTAACTACTTATAAGCACATAATATAAAAGCTCTTCTTCAAATATGTGTAGTTGAATATTATATAAATAATATAATATTTCTGTTATCGTAAATCTCACTAAATTCATCAAAAAGTATAAATCATTTTTTTTTAAATCTTTTAGTTATGTGTTTTTCTTAATTTATCAATAAAAAAATATTTGAACTTTGATTTAAATACACTAGTTTTGAAATAAAAATGTAACTCATCTTATCAAAGAAAATATCGTTGAATTAATGAAATTTTTCGTAATTATATTACTAAAAACTATACTTTAAATCGAAGATGCCATTTCATTGATTTAAAGGTTTGTTTCTGAGTGTATTGGTCTATTTTGTTCAACGATTCATCTAAAGATCACATATAATATTTATTTGATGTCATCACCAGTGGCGGTCTAATGATTTTTAAATGGGAAGAAATGAAAAACCTTGATAAAAATCATGGGAGCTAACATATCCCAGAGCTTTTTTATTTGTATTACTATATCAATATGTTATTAGATAATAATGGACTACTAAATGCATAAATGGCTTTCCTTTTATTTAGCCTATTTCAAAAATTTAATTTATTTTAAAATAATAATATCAATAACTTAATAAATCTTATCAATAATTTAATAGGATTATCTATTATAAAGTGTAAAATCCATAATTAATCATTAAGGATTTGACACTCAATTTCTTGGAAACAATTAAAAATTTTGTAGAGGAAAAATTTGTTTTATACAAAAATGTCTACAATAATGCGAAGTTCATTATTTTTTTTTATTACTTTAGGAATAAGGATAATAAACTTAAACTTTAATTTTCTTTAGTGGGAATCCCTAATTATTATTATTGATTATTTTATGTTTGATATTATTTAAGCAAAAAAAAAAAACAAACTTTATTATTATAATTCTATTTGTTCAATAATAATCTTGTTTAATGAGCCATAAATTATTATCAGTATTTATTCTTACTATTATAAGTGATAGATAAGATAACAAAGATTGCCTATAATTTTTTTTTGCCCTAATAAAGAAATTAATTCTACCCTTATAAAACAAAAGGGATTAAAAAAAAAATATTTTATGATTAATAAACTGAGAAAAATATGTAACTCATAGATATCAAACATAAATTCTCAACATTATATTGATATTTTTCAAATTTAATTAGTGGTTAGCGATAACAGAGTTAATATTAATTAAATAAGAAAAAACAAATAGAAAAATTTTTATGATTAGCTAATAAAAAATAAATAAGTACAAAATTATAATTTGATATTTTAATCATAAAAATGTTAATTTTGTGTTTAGATATCATACAAATCATTTTGTACCTACTACACTTGAACCAAATGTTATATGATTTAAAGCAAAGCCTCTAAGCATTAAGTTAAAATCAATTATTAATATATGTTAATAATCATATGAATAATGAATAACTGTGAAGCACAAAAATAAATATATTGTAAAAGCATTTAATCTGTGATATTAAGCTACATCATGATTTTAAGTTAACTTGTAAAACTTTATTTTAACACAATAAAAACATTTAAATAAATGCATTACAGTCTAATTTTTAGACAACTATGAAATTCAAAAAATATTTGTTTGAAGTAATCCATTTGTAGAGTGATCGGTTTACCATAAACCACTCAAATACTATAAAAAAAGTTAAAATATTGAAAAATAATTTTTGATTTCTTTTAGTTATATTTAATTCTCAGATTCCAATTACTTTTTAGAATCCCTTATAATTTAAAAGGATGTCAACATTATTTTTTAAAATGATAACATACATATTTAGCCAGTTTATAAAAAAGGAAATGATCAAATTTAGAAAATAACTGGTCAATAACAACTTTTGGACATTATTCTTATTGTTATACCTAGACGGGACAATGAGCATAGCCAGGAAATGACTTACAATAATATTACTTAAAATAATAATAACTTCTAGAATACTGGTCCGAAGGTTGTTAACGACCAGTTGTTTTCTTAATTAGATTATTTACTATTTTATAAACTTGTTTAATATGTTGCTATTTAACAAAATAAAGTTGACATCTTTATATGTTATAAGTAGTAATGAACATTTCAGAATATTTTAAACTTACAAATTGTAATCGATAGTTTTTTTAAAACTATAGAATAACTATTCATATTGTTTTCATGCAACTGAATAGTTTGTTTTTAGCATAAACTATCAAATATTTATAAAACTATTGAATAGTTCAATATTTACTATTCCATATTTCCTATCACTAGTTATACTAGTTATCACTAAAGGTATAATTCAAAAATCTATTTATTAGCTGATAATCAAGAAATATATGTAATATTTTATTTATTTTGAGAGTAATCGAAAGGTTTTTGATAAACTGATCAACCTATATAATCAAAATTAAAACTTTCCCTGTTTATTAATTATTTTTTAAAGGGTGCATTAAAAAAAAATGCACGGGTTTTGAAAAAGTTATAAATTAATAAATACCTAACATAGAGTCTTGATTTTTTTCATTCAAAACTAAATTAGTTTTTATTTTTCATTTTTTATTAAATACAACATTATTAAAATGACTCTCATAAGGAGCAATAAACTAATATAGTCAATTTTTTTTTTTTATTTCCCTTTAGATAACCCCTTATATAAAAATCATGCATGCTTAAATCATGTGAGCCTGCGAATAATCCACATTATGTCTAAGAAAAATTATTTGTGTAAGGTATATAATTTGATTTTATAAAATCTAAAATTTTCACCCTACTAAATCATTGCATCAACTTAAAATGTTTTGTTGTAATGATCATGATGATACCCTTCCCAAACTTCTATCCTTGCCAAAAGCTGATCACTAAACTTTCAAAACCCGAGTATTTATTCATTGCACCCTTTATTAAAACCTATTATAATATAAAATAATATTTTTTTATTCAAAAAAATTAATTCATTATTCTTTCTCTCATTCAATAGTGGACTAATGATACTAATAAAATACTGAATAAGATTTACAAAAATAAAAATAATAATTACAACAACTTAATTTGAGTTAATTTATAAGTAAAAAACTATATATTTATATACCGTTCTACAAAACGTTCATATCATGTTTTTATGATCTTGGTAAATAAGAATAATAATTTAAAAAAAAAAAAAATGATTACTTCATTAAAACTGTTTGATATAAATATACTCAAATAAAATAATAAAATAGAAATAATTGTAAATGTTAAAATAAACTGTACAAATCAAAAAGTGGTAAGTCAGATTTCATTTACTGACAACAAAGCGATTATATTAATTAGGTTGTAATGAAACAAAGTATGACTTTGGAATAAAACCAAAAAAATCCAACATATTTGACACCAAGCACTTACCAAGTATAAAATGATTTTGCTTAGTATCTTCATGAATGGCATCTTGTTTGGCTAAGAAATTACAATAAATTCAAATAATTTATTTTGAGATTTATGAAAACTAACTTATTACTTATCTAATATATTCAGAGGCGTATTTATAAGGGGTTTTTCAGATCAACTCCTTCAGAACCTAAATATATTATATAATTTGATATCTTGAAAGGACTAAAAAATCATTTTCTTATGTAACATTCCAATATATATAAAAAAAAAAAACCTAGATACGCCACTGACTGTTTTAATTGAACAATTTTTGACAAATAAGAAAATAAATAAAACAAATTTATAATTTAACTTACTTTTGGGTGTACACGATTCTTGATCTTCCAATAAAGTTTCCAAAACAGTATGAGAATTTTCATTATGAGAAAATGAATCTTTTGATGTGTTATATTCCTCGCCAGAATTAGATAAAGAACGTGGAAGACTGTTGGATCCCACTAAAAATAAAGTTATGATAATATAATGCACAACAATATAATAAATTGTTTAAAAAATTATATTAAAAAAATTGTTTTTACGATAATAAAAAATATATGTAAAGGCACACATGATATTTGGAATATTAGTCACAACAAATAATAACCTTGTTTCTTACATGATATCATAAAAAAAATAAGGTAGCCAACCTACATGGCGGGATATAAAATGAGACTAAAGTAGAATTTTAAAGCAAAATAATGAATTAAGTATCAAAGTTAATTTAATATTTTTAAGAAATAATAATAGAAAAAAATGTATGTTGTTTTTTTTTGTGCCATAATAAGTTAAGCTACTAAATAAGAAAAAAAATTTTTTTTTTTATAATTGGCCATGTCAAATTATTAAATGTTAAATGTAAATTTATGTTAAGTATTAAATAAAGAGATAATAATTTTCTACAATTATTGTAGACAAATTAATTAATTAATTATGTAACTGAAGTCTGTTGAGCCATTGACAATTAAAGTACATCATAACCTTGTGACAAATTGTTACACAATATTAATTATCAAGGAATGACTTTATACAAAACAGTTATCATATAAACTAAAGGGAGATGATTTTTGATGGGTAAAGAAATATAAAATACATGAGTCCATTAAAAATGAAATACACCAGAAAAAGAGTTTGTGGTTAGGTTAAATTAAGAGAACAGCTAATAAAGGAAACAATAAGAGAAAAAAAATCAGACATTATTAAAATAAATATTACATCTACAACTTTTATAATAGAGAACATCCTTGGGTATCTATTTAACACAGTAGTACCGCATAAATACAGCAAGTATACAACCTATATGATTGATTTTAAACAGATAGGTTTAGTTTCTATGATGTTAGGACACCCAGAAAAATATGCACTATGCCAAAACAATGTGATAAAACATATAACCTAGTGCAATAAAATAAATAATACTTAAATATAAAATGGATATATTTTGACACATCTAATGTATTTGGGGCCTAAAATCCTAAATAATAAAAATATATACAAAAATTCAACACATGTGATTTTAGCACAGCTAAAAACTAGTTCAAAACATTAATGGAAATAAATTGATACATGACCCTTATTAGTACATAGCTGACTGTCCCAAACACTCAAAAAAAATATATACAACACATTGTAGAAAGTAAATAGTATAATATAACACATTTAGCATGCAGTCGTCTCAATCAGGACATTCAAAATAAAATTTAGTCATGTTGAAAAAGAAATATACCAGAAAATAATTAAAATTATTGAGTAACCAGTCAAACTAGGAGGAAGGGACCCCTTTTTTATATTGCCAATTGTTTGCAAAAACATAAAACACACAAATAGTAAAAAGTACATAATAGGGGTTACCTATTTGTCATGTTACATATTATTCATAATCTATTTTTTTATAAATTGTTGAATAACTACTTAATAAGAATACATACAAGTTTGATTACCAACTAAAGGTGTAGATGGTTCACTTGATGCCTTACGTCGTAAACTACCAACACGAGTTACTGATGGAGATTCGCGGATGATTGATGTATCTTCTAATATTTCACGTTCAACACGTCCACTATACTTGAATTTAGTACCCCAAGAAAAAAATCCTCCACCCGATACTACATTGGGAACTTCTGAACTTGAAGGAAATCTTAAGTTGTACATATTTTACCATTAGAATAAAGTTTAAGACAGAAATATATATATTTTTTTTTTCTTAAGTACATACGTGAAAAATAGCATTTGTTCCATAGCACATTTCCAAACATGACGACATGAAGAACCTTTTGGACATTTAAACCCTATAGTTTGTTTTTTCTGTAAAAAAAGAAATTATCTAAATATATTGTAATAAAAGAGCTTATAATATAATTCTCTTTTCAAAAATGAAAAATAAAATATAAGTTTTTTTTAGAGTGAACCCCAATAACAAAAGAAGACTTAAAATTTATACCAAAATACAGAGATTTAAAGGAAATTAACAATAATACATAAAATACTTAATAGTGTACAATTAGTGATGAAAAATATAATTTCACATTGTCAAATAATTATTCAAAAAAAAAAAAAAAATTTCACAAAAATAATTACTATTATTAATAAAAGACTTTTGCTGAAATAAAAAATGCCAATTTAATATTTAAAATAAAGTATTTATTAAAAAGATATTTTGTTCTAAAATAAAGTTAATGGATTCTTTTTACTTTTTCAAAATTTCAAAATAGCCAATTTTTAGACCATTTATATATAATAATTTGATGGATCAATAACAAATTATATAAGTGCTTCTAAAGTTTAAAAAATTTTTATACATTCAAATGGTATGTAACCTAAGTATGTGGGTACTGTTCATACTAGTGGTAAGTATACTCAGCACATGTTCCATGCCTATTATATGTATAAAAATACTTGTATCTTGATAAGTAATTGTGCCATCAATATTTTTTCTAAGGGATAAAAAATTGTTATATTGCCTTTTTCTAAATCTTTCTATTCTATATCTAAATAATATATCAAAATTAAAAATTCTTTATTAGTGATAAATAAAAAATATGCTTTCAACATAATGTAAAACATATTTAAATAATTATTTATTTAATTATAAAAATAACAATTATTTGATAAATTTATAATAAAATTAAAAATAATAAATATATTAAAATAGAAGAATATTTAAAACAATATAATATTGGCTAGGTTAGTTGATATTTACATAAATTATTTTAATTTTATAAATACTTTTATTTGTATTGTAAATAATATATAGTTTATAGTTTTACTATAAATTAATAATAAAAAATGTGTTACCTTTATTCTTTGATCCTAAGAAGCATGAAAATAATTTATGAATATGGGGTAAATATACATGAATATATGTTTAACTATAATTTAGATAATATCTTTAAAAATATAAAATTTAACATTTATTTTTTTTAGAAAGTTAATAGTATTATTTACTTAATAATTTTCAAAAAAATGTGGTTCCAATCCCCTCTCTTTCCTCTTAAATATTTAATAACATTAGATTTTAAAATGGAAACAAATACTAAGTAAGTCACAAAGATATGACAAATCTAATAAATGTTGATCCAATTATCATTTCCTTGAATTTTTTTTTTTTAATAATAATTATTGCAACGTTAAATTTTGTACTAAGTATAATTTTTATAATTTATCACTAAGAAATTTTTTTAAATTTTGTAATGGCTACTTTTTAGGTCTTTTCCTACAAACATTTTAATACATAAACTGAATATGTATTATAATGTTTCGTGACTCATACTGTATGTTTAATTCCAAACTATATTTAAGAAGTCATTAACTTTTTAATAAAGACTGGAGATAAAGTGCTGGTCTATATTTATTTCTAGGTATTAACGAGTTACTTTTCTTGCCTTATTATAAAAATACTAATATCATTTAAAATACTAATTTTAATATCATTATGAACCAGTTATTTTTATCAATAGATCATTTTAAGGAAGAAAGTTATTATAACTATTTTCTGAAAGTTATAAAATTCTATCAATTTCTAAAAATAAAAAAATATTATTGTTCTATATTTTTAAGGATATTGTATGATTCATAATATAACACTCGTACTGTATAAATACATGTAGGAAAATAAACAAAATAAATGCTTAAAAAATATTGTGCAGTATAAAAGTTTTAAGTTCTTATAAATAGAAGTAATACCTCATTAAGTATAACATGAATTATAAACATTTTGCCTTCATAATTTATTTTTTGAACTTGTGGCCAACTGAAATGATTAATTTTTTTACTACCTTGAAATGTTAAAATTCCAGTGTGATTAATGCCCAAGTATAGTTGATTGCCCCGTTGGTCCTATAAAATAAAATAATTGTTAAACATTAAATTTCATAACATAAAGAATTAAATAATCACTTTAACAGCATGTGGATCAATGCCATAAGTATCTAAAACACAAGCTTTTTTCAAAAACATTGTTTCAACTTCTGCTGCAGTTTTTCCTTTCAACTCATTCTTATGAATGTCCATCATTTTTTCTTCTAATTGAACAGTTTGTTTTAATAGAATCTTTAATTCATTCACATAATTATCTATGTGCTCATCAGGATTATAATCACCTAACTCAGCTAAAAATACAAATTAGACATACATCATAAGATTTGATTTTTTAATGAACAACTAAAAAAATTACCTTGTAATATACAAGCTCCTAAAAAGGCAGCTTCAGGAACATTACAATAAAGTCGACCATGTAACAAATCTCTTTTTAATTGTAGATATATTTGATAACGTGTTATGTCTTCTTTAAGTCGAAAAGGATTAGGTGGGTAAAATTTTACCCTAAAACTAAATAATATATTATCGGCTTCAACATCTTAAAAAAAAAAAATTAAAATTATTACTCAATAAACTGAAATAATATAATAGTAATAAAAATTAAAAACTAGATTGGTTTTATGCTTATTGAAGGGGTGACTAGAATTTTTTTTTTTTATCTTACCTCGTATTTGTTTAATGATTGATTTAGATGGTTCAAGCCAATGCTAAAAAAATAATTTTTCGATTAAAATGAATTTGAAAATAAAATCAGTATACATTATCATTAAATAATCAATATTTATTTTTACTTCTTACCCTTTGACGTTTGTTATCAACATATCGTAAACCAAAATAATCCTTTTCAATCAAATTTAACTGTTCACAAACTCTGTCTATCAGAAAGCTGCATTTATCATTTCCCTGAATAAAAAGATAAAAATATTTATCAGTTAGAACATGCAAGCAAATAAGTATTTATTTATTACATGTTTTTGACCAATATAAAATAATAACTGTAAAGACTGAACTTTACTTATAATAAATTTTTTTTAGACTCCTTAATACATATATTTAGTAAGATAAAATTATATATATCACATACGAGGTATAAAATATTTGAAAAACTAATATTGAAGAAATTTAATTTGTTTACATAAAAATATAAAGTAAACGTAAAATAAATAATTAATTATGCAATATTAATATTAAGTATATTATAGATATCTTATAATTATTTTTTTAAGATAACTTAAATACTAAATTGTTTGTCAAAATGCAAATTAATAATAGTTATAAAAATAGACAAGCTAGTAGTCATAATTATAATAATTAAAATGAAAATATTATAATTATACCCATTTATAATTTATAAAATGACACTTAAACCTTTTTACATAACATTAAATTCTAACATACACACATACTAAATTTTCTCTGAACAATAAATATATAACTTTTACTAGAAATAATATGTGTGGTTTTAAATATTTTTTATAGAAAAGTGGTTAACTTCATTATATTTTAAACTATAGCCTACTGTGAAATTCAATTATTAGAGTGAATGTATTCTAAATAATTTAATGCACTGATTAATCTAATGCATTTATTAAATTACTAACATACTTCGAACAATTAAAACAATACAATGAAAAGAAAACTATTAATAATAAAAATATTAAAAAAAATGTATTTACCTGAAATNAACTATTAATAATAAAAATATTTAAAAAAATGTATTTACCTGAAATTCTAATTCCAATAACTGAGTATCTTCTAATAGACGTACAGTACATTTGATAGAAGAATTGACAGAGTTTTTACTATTAAACTTAATCATGTTATGTAATAGACTTTTTTCTAAATAGTTATTAAATCTTCTTGTGAATTAAAAAATATATTATTGTTAGTTTAGAAACGTAAAATAATCGAATGAGTGCGTAAACAAAACGCGCATTTCAATTAGGACCTTCGTCCAGCACTAATATGATTAAACATTAAATTTAACGGATGAATACGCGTTATATTAGATCACTGATACAGAATTATATAGTAAACGGCCAAGTATTGTTATTATGTTAAAACAATTTTTTTCCAAAGAAAACTATGAAAAAGAGAGAATTACGAGATTACAGCATTACTCTTATCTCATTTCTCCTACTTCTGTTTATATTTAGTTTTGATTTTTTCCTCCACTCAGAATATTCCAATGATTGCAAGTATTGAATTGCAAATTCCACAATTTTTTAAAAATAATTATAAAATAGTCTTCCTTAAAATAAAATATGACAAGCACATAAAATAATTAAGTCGCAATTGAATGATTGAATTTAGGCGTCCATTTTTGTCGTTTAGCGGTCTTTTGTTTATGAAAACGAAAACCACATTTAAAATTTATTGACGTTGAGGCAACACTGTTGAGTTTAAAGACTTATAAGAGGGGATACATTTTAAGTTGCGGTTGTGATAAGAGGAATTGCTTGGAAAGCGGCGGCATCGACGGCCTGGATTTTATTATCACGACAGTTTCATTTGTGTTTTGGCCGGCATACGGTTACTATGTCTTTCTAGATGCGATGTGACTAAATTTAAATTACGAAATATTTAGAAATGGCTTCTAGTGTATCCAGTGTAGTAGTCTTGGACAGGGGAAATAATACGACTTGTACTATAAATTTGCTTGGTAATACCTTTTTTACATTTTAATTTGATCTATATTGAGTTATAAATGAAATGTTGTATACTATCATCGTCCTTGAATAGTAACAAATATTGTAATATTTACACTAAGGTCAATTACTTTCAAATTTTTTTACAGGTGCCACCGTAGTTTCATGGAGGGTCAACAATCAAGAGCAATTATTTGTGAGGTAAATAATGGAAATATGTATATGAAATAAATAGTTAATAGATAGTTTTTTAAACTCTTGTAGAATAGCATCCTTCATTAGTTTCATTTATTAAGAGATCAAAAATATTAGTTTCCTTATATTTCTCATTTTTTTATTTTTACTTTTTTTTTTGAAATTTAAAGAAAAAAATAGCAATTTAATTGCTTAAAAACTAGATGAGCTATTGAACATTACTTTTTTAATAAGTTGGTCTTATATATATTTTCTATAGAAATGAAAATGTTTTATATATTTTATTAAAAATATATAAAATTATTTAATTTTTCAAGTTTAAAAATATTTACAAAATTTTTCTTTAATTAACATTTATTTTTAATATATCAATAAATTGAAAAAGTTTTTTGACTTAATCAATTTTTTCGTGATCTGTTACAATCATTTTCTAGTATTTTGAAAATGATTTTAATTAAACTAATTAATAAATGTTCTTCTAAAATTTTCCCAAATTTTTACAATATTCTATCCTTTTTGTTATTATTATTTACAAATATTATGCTATTTGGTAGTACTTAAATAAAAATAAATTATATATAGTAATATCGTAATTATAATATATTGTAAAGTACATACAATTAAAACTAATCTTCAATTTCGTATAAAAAACGGAAGATTAGTTTTAATTGAATGTATAGCTATAAATTATTTAGATAACAACATTAAAATACATCGTTAATATGATGCCAAATATTTTTTTTATTATTATTTAAAACTGTTTTAACTAGAATATTTCTTATGTTGCTTAGTATGAACTAAAATATAACATTTATATAGCAGTTACTTATAATATCGAAAAATAAACATTCAAAGACTGCATCAACCTTATGGTTCCTCAATAAAGTAATAAAATTCGTCTTTTGAAACTTCAATGGCTATAACATTTACATTTTGTATGTAATAAATTAAACTAACCTTTTCAACAAAAAAATGTTGTGTTAAAAGACATAAAATTTGTTAAGCAAGTGCAGGGTCACACCTTAAATCTGAAATAACCATTGAAACGTCACCGCCATAAATTAACAAAATAACCTGACTCATACAGTTAACCTATTGATAAGTTTTTCTCTGTAGTTTTAACTTAAATTTACTATCTACAGCTATTTATTATTATGTATTTCGTTTAAACGACTTTTTTGTTAAATGACATTAAAAATTAAAAAGTTAAAATAAAATTTAAGTGTGGTTTATTTTCTTACAATGATAAAACGAGGCTTTTTAAGATAATTTAAAATTGAATTTGTGCATTTGGCAGATAAAGGGTTTGGTTGTTATTTTTTCATTCTCTAGGGTGTGTCTGTCTGGTAATGACTGATGAAGCATTTATCCCGCGTAAGGACCCTCTCTTGTTTCTACCTAGTCACTATCGTCTAATATCTTTTGACTGATAGCCTAAGCTTGAAACAACTGATGAGCCTCGTTAATCAGAATATCGCTCCTCCTACAATCTTTTATGTTAGCTTCATCTGCTATTATAAGTGACAGTCGCTAATGTTAAGAAAATTTTATTCATTTTTATTTTCTTGTATAAGTTCTTTAAATATGGTACATTTTGTATATACATATTCGTCCCATATTTTGTACGTAGCCAAATAATAATTTTTCTAGATAATTCTTTGATACTTTATAAACGATTTATGGCAGAATTCTTGTGTAAAACGTACATTTTTAGTATATGTACATGTTTTAAATGTTAAAAAAATTTAATTTAAATGTGAAGTAAACTCTGTGAGGTCAAGTACCACTTGTATATGTTTTCCCCAGTCGATAATTTTGTCTCATCTGTGTAAAGCTTTGATGTTTAAAAGTCTGAAATTACCAGACTCGACGGCGAATTTAAATTACAATAATCTAAATATAATTAAGTCAAATAACATTATACATATTGTATAAGATATAAGTTTATCATTAACTTTGTTTAGTTGGATTAGTCCGTCATTTAATTTGTGATAAAATTATGGTAAGGGTGATAAATAAATAAAATACTTTTACTTTATCCTGTCTAATATTTGCGTATACCCGTTTCCCTATATTTATAGTATAGATTAGATTAATATGATATAGTACTCATATTTTAAAAAGATTTATTAATAATTTGAAATATAACCAAATTCACAAAATGACTATAAAATATACATGTAATTCCAATAAAATTATACTTCTACAGTTTCAAATTTTATTTTCCTCGAAATTCTTAAACAAAAAAGTATTAAGCTAATTTTCCCTTTATTCTCTATATTAAATTTATAAATAAAATCTTCCATTTTACCAATTTTTTGTTGGTCATTTATAAATATTAGTTACTAAATATAATTATTAGTTAATACTATGTGAATTTATTTGCTTACTACTTATTGCGACTAAGTAGTCGCAATATCTTATACCTACACGTATTCATTGGTCTCCTCAAGAATAGTGAGCACTTATTTCAAATTTTCAATGGACGCACTTTAATATATTTTATTTACTTTTTAAATTGTTTATCTTATTTTATTAAAGTTTTATATTTAGTTGGTTTAATTACCTTTATTAATGCATACGTATATTAAAGTTAATTAACAATACTTTTATAATGATACTTAATATAATTTTTGTTTAGTCTCGTGATATTTTCTAAAATAAATATTGTAATCATCGTAAACAACTTGAGTAAAGTACAACTGAATGAGGTAATATATAAAAAGTATGATACACCTTAAACATAAGTACAAGTTTTATTCATATTTTAATTAACTTATGTGTTTTTATAATGATATTCGACAAAGATAATTTATTTTCTAAATTCATATTTCAGTCCGTTTCAAAATAAAGTTAGGGTACTAAGCTGAATCGTTTGTTAACATTTTATACATCATTATGCATAATACATGAATAGTGATCAATGTATTGATCTGAAAAATATTGTTTTCATTATCTGGCTATTGCTCCGGTGACGGACAACTCTTTCAGTTTAAAATACGAAAATTCGATTGGTTAATCGGTTTTATGTCCGGTGTCCGTTTTTTTTTTTTGAATAAGCAATTCTTTGTGACATAAAGTGAAGTAACGTATCATTATACCCTAATCACAGCGAGCAACTTAACACACATAGTTTCGGTAATTTGCCGCCATACAGTCGATGCTGAAGTGTCTCCTTTCTTTTCCCATGTGAACCCTCAAATACCAACCCCTTTACCAAAGTCCCGGGATGTCAGCATTGTATAACAGTGTTGGCAGGGATAATGGCGTAGCCTAGAGGTTTTTGCTTGTATCCGTTTTGTAATCACTAAGGCGGCTGTTAATGTCGTTTGGTGCGCTGTGCCGGTCGTATATTAATGGCTAGCAACACACCACTTCTCGTTAATTACATGGTCTCACACCGCTGAATTTCCTCGTATAGTTTTCCTACAGTATTGTACGTCTCACATTGGTGTGGTGTGCCGAGTATAAGCCAAGTCCAGTGCAAAAAACAATTGGAGTAAACTTGACGCCACCTTACCGTTACTTGTGGTGGTCCATTTCTCACCCTCCCATTACCCATATTATTCTCTTTCCGAGCCAAAATTGAATCTTAACTATCCCTTGTACGAATTGTAAATGCATATATCTCTTTTAGTACAACATACATTTTATCTATAAAAAATTGATAAAACTTCCTATCACATGAAAAATTTATTAAATACAATGCTGGATTTAGAGATGTGAGGGCTCCAAGGCCGTACTATAGTTGAACAAAAAAGCTTAAAAAAAAAAATGTTCTCTTCGTACATAATATTAGATTTTTTAAATGCCTAGCGAAAAAAAATGTCTTGTATTTAACTAACAATTTTACAACTTTTAATCCAATTATCATTTCACTGTAACTTTTTTTAATTGCTCGTATAGGGAAATAAAATTATTCAATTTTTAAAAAATTACAAAATAATCATTTTTTTGTCACTTATGTTACGAACATTTTGTTATAATTATACGTATTTATAAATTAAAAACACAAACAAATGTATGAGCTTAGCTATTTTAAAGAGATGGCTTAAGGTGGCATAATCTTACCAAAAATACTATTTGATAGTTGTAATTTTATCAGTCAAGCGGTGATAAATAGTATCTACAAACAATTTATGTTATAAATTTGATGAAAACTTATATTGGAAAAAAAACTTGTATCAGTTTAATTTTTTTAATCAGTAATATTATTTAAAGGGCAACACTGAAAAAAATAAGCGCTATAAAATCCATGCAGACGTATCAAATTAAAATTTTAACTACGGCACTGTATAGAAATTGATAAAACTACAATTAATGACGTTTCATCAACTGCTATTTTTTTTTAAATGTTAGATGCCAAGTAGTATACGTTAATTTAAATAAAAACTTTTATAATTTCTAAGCCAATGGCGTATTTAAGAGAGATGTTAGCGGAATATGACATTCCCCTTAAACTGGTGATATAAATCAGTTTTTGATGCATCTTTCTAATTATTATACGAAGACTTAATTAAGTTAATTTATACATTAACTTTATAGATTTGCTAAATAATAAAACAAGACTTCTATTTCAATATAAGAGATAATATTATTTGTCAAATGTTAATTTAAAAGTCATCTCTAAATCATCTTAGGGTACAAACATATATTTAAGACTCTGATTTGCAAATCAGTGAACCCAGTAACATTTAATATTATAAGCCCCCTAAAAAATCAAACCTTAAATAATAAATAATATCTCCAAAAAAGTTAAAATCTATACTATAAATAAATATGTATAATAATATATACAGAGTGACTGATTTATCGTTTACTAGTAAATTTTTCCGAAAATAATAATTTTGCAAACATTTGTGGTAGTAAGAGCAACAATTTTAATATGTTTTCAAGAGATATACGTTTGAAATAGTTAAATCCTTCTAGAACTATTGTAAACATAACACTATTGCTTCATAATATTATTTTATTATTATTGTGAAAACAAATACCAATCTTATAACCAATATATTTTACTATTTACTCCTTTTAAATTTTACAGATTTTAATAATTAAATGTTTACTATATTTTTGTTGTACTGATTATAAGTAAAATTTTTTCTAAAACTTAGGAAAACAATAATGGTGTCCGATGTAGGAAGATACTCCTACCTGAATCCTATTATATAGGCGACACCTATTTAAAAAATAATGGATCTGTATTCATTTTATCTTTTTTAAAAAAATGTTCATGTTATAAAATATAATTATTTAATTAATTAGAAATAAATAAACTATATGATTGTTATTTTAACATTTTTATAATTTATCATTATTATCTTTAACAAGGTCAAAAAAATCATAATAAGGTTAAGGCAGCTCACGTGTTTCTTTACGTGAATATTGATATAACTTAAGTAAGTGCATTTATCAATTGCTATAATTGCACGAAGATCGATCGCATATGAGAGGACTGAGTTCTTTACATGATAATATCTTTAATTAAATAAAATTATGATAATTTTATTTTATTTTCCCTGATTTTTTGGATAAAAGTGTTGAATCCGAATATCTTTTAGAAATACTTTTCTTAATCGTCGTAAAGTATTTGACTAAATTTAAATTGAAACTAATAATCAAATTAAATAAAATTAAAACTATATTAAAAATATTATTAATTAAAAAAACCCATCACAGGGAGGTCGCGGTGGTTATGAAAAAGTTGTCATTTTAAATCCCCCCTTGTGGGCAGGTAAAGGGACAGATTTATAAAAAAAATATACCAAATGAAAATTAATGATATAGTGCATCCATATAAAAAAAATTATATTGATTTTAGTTATTTTTAAGAAAGTTATAGCAATTTTAAGTAAAAAAAATTGAAAAAATTTTGAAAATTAGCGATTTTTAAATTTGTAATTTTTTTGGAGGTTTCCCCCATTTACGGGGAACGAGGGAAATTTTTTCAATTTTTGAGGGTAATGTCTTCGACTAGATACGATTTGTGAACTTTTGAAGTATCATTGAAAGAAATCGGTTCGGTGAGAGCTGAGAAAAAGTGGTAACAAACACACAAAAAAAAAAAAATATCATAGTAAAACCAATACGTTCTCAGCTTCGCATCGAAGCTAAAACTAAAATATATTTTTAATTTTATTTAATTAATTAGCCACAAGTGATCAATTCCTATTATATAATAATCAAATGACTTTAAATAGATTATCAAATGGACCATATAGATATATAATATCAAAATTGTTCAATTATTACTGAAAACTAATGTGTATTCAATACGATCTCTTAGACTTTTGAAGTAACGTCAAATAGATGTTCGATTATTTACTTTATCTTTATCTCTAACAAAACTAATTTGCTTAAAATATGTAATTATATAACGACACTGTATATTATTGTTGTTACGATTTCCAGAATTTCGTATGTAAGGTATTACAGTAATATATTATTTTAAGTTGTTTGCTATACTGGCGCTTATAGTTTTAGGACTGTCGCAGCAACCCCTTGGGTACGTTATATGTTTTTTGCTACATTTTCGTGGCGTGTTCAAATAGCAACAATGCACCAACGGACGGGCACGATTGTAATTAGTGATAAAAGTCCTTTATAGATTAAAACGGGTACAGGACATGACTAGATGGGGTGGTGGACGTGTATTGTATGAAGAAAAGACACAAGGGTATGATGGATGCGTGATAGTAGTTAGGGAGAAGAAGTCTACTGCCATGCCGTTCAACGGTTTTTGTCTCGAACGCTCATTTGTCAAGGGCCATGCCATCGGAATGAGAAGGACGCCGCGTGGGAGGATAAGACGGGGACAGGGTTAACTCTTCTTTTGACCGACACCCTTAAGGTTCTAGGACAGATGCAAAAAAACATCATACGCACACCCGGCAACTTTCGGTCAACCTCTCTCCTCGCCTATCTCTTTTCGTTGTGAAACTAGGTCTGTTTGAAATGCTTTCCACTGTTTAATACTTACAACTTATAACCCTTAAACAGTAAGTTACTGCAAAGACTGTTCTAACATGTTTTTTATAATATCCATTAGTATTTTAATCATTTTTTTTTTACCAATGATCGAAAATAATTAAATATGTTTAAAAATAATAATAACATAATATGAATAAAATTACATCAAAATTAAACAAGTAAATTTTAAAACGTTCTTAAATATAAACATTTGTTTTAAATAAAAAAATTACAAAATATAATATTTTCGGCTTCTTTCTCAATTCGCAATTCCGATTTATTCAATTTATACGCCATCTGTACAAAGTTTATAATATGAAAATTTTTGCTATATTATAGCTAAATATACTTATTCAAATTTAAACAATTTTTTGCTTTTTTTCTACTATAGTTTTTATTATTTGAAACATGAACACACTAATGGTATATCTTTGCATTCTTAATTTTATTTAGTATAATGATATTTAAAGGGGAAAAATCATCAATGAGTTTTTACTTAAATCTTATTATATTGATTTACATAAATCATGACAGTATTAAAGACTAATTCTGCTGATCTACAATAGAAAATTTTGCTACCTCTCATCACATTTCGTTTATAAAACAGACTTAATGAGGAAAATTTGTTTAAGGCTTTCCAAATAACTAATTTTTTTTCATCTTACAAATTATATAAAATTTAACGAGTCTATAAATAACAAGTTATTCAACAAAATCATATCGTTTAAGCGTAAAATAAAATCGTTTAAGCGTAAAATAATTGATTATAATACTTCAAAAATTAAGATTAAATGATTAATAAAATTCAAGTTTAATTTGTATGATAAAAAAATGATTAATAATTAAATAGAATTGAAAAATTAAAAATATTGCTATCTTTTAACATTTATTTAGCAAATACTATTTTTAAACTACTTCTAAAATAATTTAAATAAATAAAATTAAAACGTGTTTATTAAAAATCGTTTTTTAGCATTTATTATTATTCAAGATCTTACACATTGTTTGACTGGCTTTTAATTATCTATTTTTAACTATTCTCATTTTATTATTACTATCTATAAAATACAAGCACATGAATGTGTCATGACAATAAAAATATTTGTAAAGTTATAATTTTTTTTGTGCTTATTTTATAATTTTAGTTACTTAAAATTAATTTAATGTTTATATTTATAGTAAATTGGCAGTTTTTGATGGTCAAAAATCAATTAGAGGTGGAATTCCCTTAGTTTTTCGTAAGTTTATATATACAGGGTGTTCAGTAAGTCAGGAAACGGGTTTCTATTGTTCTCATTGTTTGTAACAATGAGAACAATAGAAACCCGTTTCCTGACTTACTGAACACTCTGTATATAATAATTCATACTACGTTTTATTTTTCGCGAAAAATTTTTAATTCTCAATGTCACTAAATAGAAATTAATAATTTTTAGCACATTTTGGACCTTGGGCCTATGGACCACAACATGGGTTTGCAAAGATTTGTAGATGGGAAGTTGAAAAACAACCAGAACCATACGAAAATGGTGACATAGAAGCAATTTTTTCTGTTGTAGATACTCCTTTTACAAAACAGATGTGGAACTACAGGTATATTTTTACCTAACAAGTGATAATTACCAATAATTAATTATTATAATGACCAAAATTTATTTATTTAATCAATATTGTCATATACTTTTTATTTTAGTTTTAAGTTAGTGCTGAAAGTAGTTCTAAGAGAAAAAGAGCTGCAAGTTGGTCTTAATGTTATTAACACCTCACCAGAACCTTTTCAATTTACTATGCTATTCCATACTTATTTAAAAGTACCAGATGTCAGAAAGTGTTCTATATCTGGTCTTCATGGATGCATGTTTGTTGACAAAGTATGTACATTATAATTTTTTAAATTTAACCTTAAGCTTAAATTACTGTTATAAAGACAAAAGAGAATAGCATTTATCAAGAATCAAGAGAATTGGTAACAATTGACAATTGGATTGACAATATATATCAAAATACATTACAAGAACACATAATTTCAAATGTAGTTTCGGGAAGAAAAATGAAAATGGTGAAGTACAATTTACCTGATACTGGTAAGTAAAATATTCATTTATTTTTCCCTTAACAAATATTTTTAATGGAAATCTATTTTAGTGGTATGGAATCCATGGGATGTAAAAGCCAGTACCATGAGTGATTTTGGTGATGATGAATATCCAAACATGATTTGTGTTGAAGCTGGAGCTGTGATGACTCCTATAACATTAAACCCTAGTAATACATATGAAGGAACAATTATTTTACAGGTAAGTAAATCTTAAAATATACATAAAATTTAAAAATCGTATGAAATTTAAATAATTGTATAAATTTTTGTCATTTTATATTTAAAATATATTCCATCATCAGTTTGGTTAATATGACCATATTAATATATACAAAAATTGTACCTAATTTTTTTTTTTAACAATTAGGTGATGTGAGTAGAGTCTGGAGCTGCCGCTGGTGGGGCGAGATCTAAAGTTCGTGGTGTACATACACGCCAACGATGTTCGCCACTTGCTGCAGACATTAATAGGAATACCGGCAGCTCCTATTTTTCATCACAGAACTCTCCTATGTCCTCTGTGTTCAATAGACAACCTGCAGTGAACCATGGTTGGTTCACATCTATGATGTCTTCATCTGATTTTTTCACCCCACAAATATACTCATCTAATAATCCTGTAACACCTGTTCACCATAATTCTACATGTGGTCAAAATTCGTCATGCACAATATGCTCACTCAATTTATAATATAATAGCATATTTCATAGATAACTAAGTAAAATATTTAAATCATTGTAAATATATATATTAGTAAATAGTTCACTACACTGTTCATAGATTTATTAGTAAAATGTTTCTTTCAATAAAAATTGTAACATATGGTTAATGTTTGTTTAAAAAAAATGTAAATCAAATTATTACACTTTTTTTTATGTAAACTTAATCGTTACTATATATTTTGAATATAATAATTGATAATGTTTTTAAAATTTTAATTGTATTAATATTGTTAAGACAATTATCACTATTAAATGATATTTTTAATTTATGTATGTAATACTTTTTCATTCAAAATTTGTAGACTACAAGTTCAATTTCCAATTGTTAAAAATTATACATTGTTATTTTTTAGTTTTTTATTACTTAAGAAAACATTACATTTTATTAAATGTGCCATCATACAAATTTTATTTATGAATTACTATTTAGTTCCATGTTATAATTTAACTATTTAGTTTAGATTAAAATGTTAAATTTTTAATCTTTTTAATGGTAATATATATTTATTTAAACAATTTATTCAATTTTTGTTTTTTTTTTTTTTAGCAAAATAAATTTTAAAATATTTATCTTTGTTATTTTATTGAATTTTACTTATATTTTTAAGGGATTGATAATTTTATTTTTTTAAACATTTTATTTAATAAATTCAACTATTTTGATTGTTATGCAACTTTTTGAATAAACAAGTTACTCAATTAATATTTAAACACCCTTGTAAAAAAATCTGGTATATTAGTTTTTTAATTGTAGTCTTTGGAATGAAATTTTTTGTTTGGAAACAAAACAAAAATATTGTTTTAAGACTAATAACTCACTCAAAATTAATTTAAATTCAGATTTATATATACTTTAAAATTTCCTAATCTAGGTTTATTCAATTATAATACCATAACAATATTAAATGATTGTTATATTTATAATTTAATAACCTTGTATCACAAAGAAGTATAAAAAAAAAATCGTATAACATTTTTACACTAATATTTTTTCTTAAAATTAAAGAGTATATTGTAAAACCTACGAGCATATTTAAAAAATAACTAGTTAATTTATTATAAACATGGATAATATTAAACAAATTATACTGAAAGCAAAATACTCATAATCAACGCTGTATAATGTTTACATTATATGCATAGCAATTGCATAAATTATTATAATGATCATTAAAAACCAATAATCATTATAGTTACTTTATAATTTAGTAGATATCATTTGTGTCTTTTAGTATTGTATTCAAATCACACAATAGAATAGTTGAACATTTAGTAGCTTTATGATTTATTGTTAGTGGTATTCTTCATAAATTTAAATTTATAAATTTTATAAAAATATATTACTAAAACTATGAATATTCATTGTTATACTCCAAAATCCATTTCAAAACATAAAACAGTTGATGATGCCTGGATCAGCATTCATGGGAATGTATATGATATTACAAATTTTATTACAGTGGTGAGTACCTATTATTGATCGTTTGTCAATAGTCCTGAAGTTTATTTATTTGCCATATGAATATTCTAGGCTCTTCTTATATTTTAAACAAGAATTTTATTATTAAAATTTCATAAGATGACACTAAATTCATTATCTTTACAAACTCTCCGTAAAAGAAGAATCTTAAACAAATTTCAATAAATATTTTTTGTACTGTACCAATAACTATAACGAAAACTAGATGTTAGAAATAAAATATGAATGAATCACCTTTCACTACTGCTTAAGTAATAACAAATTAATTTAATAATTTAGTCGTCATTAGCGTATTTAATGGGCTTGTGTCCTACATATTGACAAAGCTATACTACAAAAAAAATTACAAATCCAGTCCTTATTAATGAATAATAATATATCTAAACTTGGGTGAGCGAAATTTCCAACATAATTGCTCCTTTACACACGAAAACACTAAATTATAGGGATGACTAGAAAATGCTGGGCGCCTAAACAGTATTTGATGCAACTTCAATTTTTTTTATCTTAATATTTTTAAATAATTTGGAAATAAAGCAATAATATATAGACAATATTATGTTAATGTTTCAAGTTCTTTACAGTTGGGACAAGTGTAGATGATATCTGAAAGTGATAAAATCACTATCATAAGAAACGCTTCGATACAAATCTGTAGATAGTGTTTAATTTTAAGAAATTGGTAGATTATTACAAAATCAACAATAACTCTTATTCCCTAAATTTTATCTCGATTAGTTATTTGATTTATAATTATAATATACGAATAATAATTATAGTAATTAAATTTAGTATGAAATTGATATTTAATAATTTAATATTGTAATTTTTACGGAGATATTATAAAAATAATAAAGTAGTTGTATATTTCTTTACTTTTAACGCGTAAAAAAATTTAAAGGGCTTGATGCAATACTTTTTAATAAACAATTTTTGTTACTTATAACAAAGTTATAAGTTTTATACACAGGACTACTAAGAACTTTCATCAGAAACAAAAATATACTTTTCTTCTTCTTAAATCAACTTATCACAATGTTTTCAAATATGCAATTAGACTTTTTCTATCACTTCTAAGTTTTAATATTATTACTTATTATTAAAAAATAAGTATTTACATATAAAAAAAAAATTATTAAGAAAAAAAAAATTATAATAAATTAATACTAATTTTGATTCTGTATATGTTAAAAATAAGGAAAATGACATATTTAACCTACTTTTTTAATTCTTTAAAGTTGATTTTTGTAAAAGTTTATAATAAAAAAAGAATTAATTTATTGCCATAACTTTTAGCTCAACTTGCAAGTTTGAAATAATTGTGTATATATTTTCGTGCTAATTTCAAAACAGCAATTATATGTTTTCCATCACTAATTTTTTTAAATCATTACAGATTTTGATTTTTAACATTTTAAAAATAATATTAAATAATATTAAATATTAATAAAAATATTATTTTTAACCTATTTTTTTGATATTTTAAAGTTGATTTTTTGAAAGTTTATAATAAAAAAAATTTAATTTTTTATCATAACTTTTAACTCAACTTCAAGTATGAAATTTACATTATTAAATAGTAAATTTTATGAGAATAAAAAATAGTATTGATAAGATTAAAATACAGTCAGAAAATTGTATAATTACTATTTACTGCAAATTCATCATAAAGCTCAATATTTTTTTTCCATTTTTATTATATTAGATCACTTAAATAGAAATCATAGTAATCATTTCTAAGTAATTTTTGATAATTAAAAATATTCTATAATTGAAATAAACAGAAAAAAATTAATTTTAATGATTTATTTTAACCAATAAAAATGTTGTTAAAAAAATCTACGCAATTGAATGTATTAGTTATGATCATTTGATGTATCATTAAAAAGTGTTGGTCAAGTAAGAGCTGAGAAAATAAATGAGAGCCATTAACAAAAATCAAATATTAAAAAAACTTATACATGAACAAGATATTTTTTTAAACGAGTGGGATCTACAGTAATCCTAGAAGAGGTCCTTGATATTTACTAAAGCTATTGAATCTAAATGAGATATAAATCAAATAATTAATGAAATGTTTTCTAACTTTTGTAAGATATTTAAAAATAAAATAAAATACATAATCGAAAATTTTAACGCAAAAATACCACATGGTAGCCATTTTCACCACGAAGACAAAATAAAGTTCAATTTTTTTTTCCATATTAAAGTATATTACATAATCTTTAATTTAAGATATATATAAAAGCAACAGTATTTCCAGAACACTTTCAAAAATTGAAAAAGTTAATTTTTTGTAAAAAAANACAGTATTTCCAGAACACTTTCAAAAATTGAAAAAGTTAATTTTTTGTAAAAAAATTGTCATTTCGAACCCCTCCCTATAGGCAGGTAAAGGGTCAGATTTATAAAAAAATATACAAAATGATAAGTAATTATCTCATGTATCATTAAAAAAAATTATATAGATATGGTCTTTTTTAAAAATATTATAATATCATAAAGTTTAAAAATAAAAAAAGAACTTTTTTACAAAAATTGTATTTTTTTTATTAACTTTTAAGTCCGTTTTCACCATGTAAACAAATTAAAATCTGAATTTTTTTTTTCATTTCAACGATATGGTCAAATTAAAAAAAAACGTCTGTTGAATGAAGAATTATATAAACATTATTTCTCATGAACAAATTGTATTAATTCATACGTTTTTCAACATTTATAGAAATATAAAATTAAAAAGTGACAACAGGTATAAAAAAAAACCAGTACAGTGGGGACGTGGCACAGTTGGGTCCAGTATAGATTTAATATGACAGTGATTAAAATCACTATCATAAGAAACTTTTCGTAGCAAATTTTTAAATAGTGTTTAATTAAAAAAAAAAAAATTTAAATCTAAGAAATTGGTAGATAATTACAAAATAAACTTCTATTTCTTTAATTATATCCAGATTTGTAATTCTTAAATTCAAAAATATAATATATAATTTTTAAAATTAATTCTTTAAAATTATTATTGATTTTGATTTTTAATATGTTAAAAGTAATAATTTTGAACCTACTTTTTATTGTCCTTTAAAGTGAAAGTTTTATTAAAAAAAAAAATTAACTTATTACCATAACAAGTAGTTCAATTTGCAAGTTTGAAATTGACATTATTAAATAGATAAAAATGAAATTGTTAAGATTAATATGCTGTCAGCAAATTTTATAATTACTATTTACGGTAAATTTAACAGAAAAGCTCTATTTTTTTGACATTTTTATTGTAATAGATCACTTTAATAGAAATCTTAGTAATCATTTTAAATTAACATTTGGTGTTTAAAAAGATTTTACAATAGAAATATTCAGAATTTAATTAATTTTAATGATTATATATCTAAAAAAACCAATAAAAAAAAAACCCCAACACCGTGGGGTGGCGGCACAGTGGGGTCGTAGCATAGTTGCGTCCAGTATAGATGATATCTGACAGTGATTAAAATCACTATCATAAGAAACGCTTCGATGCAAATTTGTAGATAGTGTTTAATTTAAAAAAAAAAAATTTGTTAAAATAACATATTTTTGAATACGGTAGCCATTTGCGCATAGAAGATAGGTCGTCAGGACAAATTTTTTATTTTTATTTTATAGTAAATAAAATAAGCTTAAATTTGATATATGTTTAAAAGACGCAGTATTTCCGCAATATTTTCAAAAATTAAGTTGAAAAAGTTAGTTTTCGTAAAAAAGTTACTATTTTAAATCCACCCCAATGAGCAGAATAATTGTTAGATTTTCAAAAAAATGATATCAAATGAAAAGAAATTACATAAGGTTTCAATATAAAAAAATATTATTTTGATTTGTTGATATTTGAAAAAGTTATGGCAGTTTTAATTACAAAAAACATCCCGATAGAAGATGATTTTTATCGCAAACATTACATTTTTTTTTTAATTTCTGCATCCATTTAACACAAATATAATATTTTCTAAAAAATGATAAGAAATGAAAGAGAAATATCTAAAGTTTTAGTATAAAAAAAAATTATG